TGATAAATGAACATATTTAATGAACTGAACTAACTGCTCTTTTTAACCTAACAAGCTTGGATGCTACAAGAACCTGCATTATTTATTACTCTAGAGTGCTATTTTTCCTCATTTTCAACCTAAATGGAATGCCAAGAAAGAAGAATCCAGACAAAAAAAACCTGTGCTTTATCATATTTAAATACTTCCTGACTGTTGTGTTCGTTGTTTGTATCCTTCCATTCCTGAAACGTCTCAGTCTACCTGAAAAGCTTTGAAAGGAAACAGACATTGGAAGATGCACTTCTTTTTTCTCTCAGACAGTTGTGTCTTTTTCTCAGTGCTCAAGTGCAGCACATGCAGCACTTGTTCACATGAACCAAGATATTTAACCAGCACTTTAACTGTCTGGAAGTTTGTAGAAGATTTTAGTTGCAGCTTGACTGTACCAAATGTGCAGAGGTGATCATTTGGAATGGAGAGATGTGAAGTCAAAGTTTTGGCCAGTTTCTATGTCAGTGGTATTTAGATATATACAAAGTCCTATTATCTTCTCTACAATGGTAAGAAAAAACTTCAGCACAGTTAAGAAACAGAATTTTTCAGGCTTTCTTCGAGGTTTTATACTCTGTCTCTGGAACCCTCTTAATTTACTACTACTCTGCTCTCCTGAGAACCACCTGGAATACTGCACACAGTTCTGGTGCCCTCAACATAAGAACGACATGGAACTGTTGGAGCAAGTCCAGAGGAGGCCATGAAGTTGCTAAGAGGATTTGAGCATCTCCCCTGTGAGGACAGGCTGAGGGAGTTGGGGCTGTTGAGCCTGGAGAAGAGAAGGTTGTGTGGAGACCTCAGAGCAACTTTTCAATCTCTGAAGGGCCTACAAGGAGCCAGAGAGGCAGTTTGTGTTAGGAACTGCAGGGACAGGACAAGAGGCAATAGGATCAAACTGAAGGAGGGAAAGTCTAGGTTGGATGTGAGAAAAAAGTTTTTCCCTGTGAGGGTGGTGAGACACTGGCACAGGTTGCACCCCTTGTCCTATCACTGCAGTTCCCAATCCACATGTCTCAGGGTTGTGCCCAGATGGTTCTGGAATATCTCCAGTGAGGGAGAATCCATGACCTCTCTGGGTAATGTTAGTTTTCTGTCCCTTCAGAGAATCTCTTGTTTAACCACATTGCTAGTTGTGCACTCATGCAAAATAAACGGCCCATTACAGGAAAGAGTTTTGAACACTTTTTTTTTTTTTTTCAGATTGTAAAACTAATTAAGTTATCAAAGGAGCATCCTATCACATTAGCAATTGGTGATGGAGCAAATGATGTCAGTATGATTTTAGAAGCACATGTTGGTATAGGTAAGTGCACTTTTTTAGCCTATCAATCCAAGTGGAATGGCAAAACCCATTTATTTCTTAAAAACAGGCAGTCTCAAAGAATCACCTGATACATTTTATATACAGATTCTAGCACATTTATCCCAGGAAGTGTATGAGAGATACTTGGGAGTGTTTCAAAAAGGAATCATTAAGCATTCAGGAGCATGTGACTCTGTGTAGGAAGTCAAGTCATTGAGGAAAAACCCCAGTCTGGTTAAAGAGAGAACTTAAGCTGCAGCTTGGGGGAAAATAAATCTGTCATCTCTGGAAGGAGTGTCAGGCAAGATGGGAAGACTCTAGAGAGTCATGTAGGGAGAAGATTAGGAGGGCAAAGCTCAGCTGGAACTTGATTTAGCTGTTAAGGACAACAAAATAAAGTTTTATAAATCCATTGGGAGCAACAGAAGGGTCAAGGAGGGTGTCCAGCAGTTGGTAAATGCAGAGGGTAGTGCAGTGACAGGGGATGAGGATAAGGCAGAGGCACTCAATGATTTCTTTGCCTCTGTCTTTAATGTCAAGTCCTCAGGACATCCAACTCCTAGGGCTGGAAGTTGGTGATGGGGAGAGGAGTGAAGCCCTGTAATCCAGGAGGAGATGGTTAATGACTTGCTATGCCAATTGGGCACTCACAAGTCCATGGGCCCTGATGAGCTTCACCCCAGGGTGATGAGGGAACTGTCAAAAGAACTCGCTAAACCCTTTGCAGTCATCTCCCAACAGTCCTGGATAACTGGAGAAGTTCTGGGTGACTGGAAATTGGCAAACATGACACCCATCTATAAGAAGGGTTGGATAGAGGATCCAGGGAACTCCAGGCCTGTAAGCCTAGCCTTGGTTCTGGGCAAGGTCATAGAGGAGAGGACCCTGAGTGCCATCACACAGCACACGCAGAGCAGCCAGGGGATCATGTCCAGCCAGCATGGATTTATGAAAGGAAGGTCCTGCCAGACCAAGCTGATCTCCTCCTATGACAGTGACCTGCTTAGTGGATGAAGGGAAGGCTGTGGGTGTGATCTATCTGGATTTCAGCAAGGCATTTCAAACTGTGTCCCACAACATACTTGTAGGAAAACTGGCTCTCATGGCTTGTATGGGTGGAGTCTTCAGTGGGTAAAAAAGTGTCTGATGGCTCAGAGAGCTGTGGTGAATGGAGCTAAATCCAGTTGGGGCTGTCACTAGTGATGTTCCCCAAGGCTCAGTGTTGGGGCCAGTCCTGTTTGACATCTTTATTGTTGATCTTGACGTGGGGATTGAGGTACCTCAGGGAATTAGCAGATGGTTCTATGGTTCAATGTGACCTCCTATTATTAAATAGCTTCCTTATGATTGTTTTCCAGGAATCATTGGCAAAGAAGGTCGTCAAGCAGCAAGAAACAGTGACTATGCAATACCTAAATTTAAACATTTGAAAAAAATGTTGCTTGTTCATGGGCATTTTTATTACATTAGGATATCTGAACTTGTGCAATACTTCTTTTATAAGGTAAGAGAATGCTTATTCTGACTGCAAACACCTCACAAACTTACATGGTAAGCCCTAACCAGATACAGTTTGTGTTAAAGAGATTTTGTTGAGTACCAGATGCAAAGCTGAAATGAGATTATTGTTTTTATCCTGAACAGTAAGTGAAACAGTTTTTCTATAAATACGTTATGTATAAAACCAAAATATGCCTTGTCTTTTTGTTCTCTCTCCTACAAATCTGATCTCAGACTGTTTTACTTATTTCCACTAGCTTCTGGGTGGTTGTCTCTACAGTGGCCTTTGAAATCAAGTTGGAAATAGTTTCTGAGAACTTGGAAACTAATGTAAATTAAGTTATGCCAAATTCACCAGGATAGTGTAGGTGAAGAAAGTGTACAATAAGCATCCCCTGGTGAGACAGTTTTGTCATTGCTCAGTCTTAGGATCCAAAGTTCTTTCAGCAAGCAATGGAAGATCACACAAAGATTACAGCAGAGTGGCAGGTTAATGGTTGGCCTCGATGATTTTAGAGGTCTCCTCCAACCTTGATGGTTCTATCATTCTAACCATCAGAGGATAATTAATGGTTTCAATGTTGGACTGTATATATAATTAGGAGAGGATGAAGGTCACAGCTAGAAACATCTAAAAGTGGCTTTGGTGGAAACCATGTTGACCAGAGTGTCCATGCTTCCTTGTCATGGTTGGTGTCCTCCTGTGGATGGTCCCTTATTTGCCTTGTCTTAACTGGACTGTGCTTCTCAACCACAAACCTCATTGCCCTTGTATTTTTTCTGCATCTAAACTGTAGCCTTAAAAGTTTGGTTTTAAAATATTCTGTTGTTCTTACACTGTGACTGTTGATGTTCAGTATCTGCAAGTTCTTCTGCAGTTCCTGCACTGTTTGCTATTAGTGGTGTTGTAAAACTGTGATAGAGGCAGCTATAACATTGTACAGCATATCAGTTGGTGCTGGAATTTCACTTGATGACTGTCACTTTGTCTTTCAGAATGTCTGCTTCATTTTTCCTCAGTTTTTATATCAGTTCTTCTGTGGGTTTTCACAACAGGTGAGTTGCTCTTTTTCACTGTCACATTTTCTCCTTTGCATTTGTTAAACACCAAATGGATCCTCCTGAGAGAAACTTGGTGTTAGTGGGAAAAGAAGAGCATCACTTTGGGTTCCTCTGGTTTTCAGTGGCAACAGCAGTTGAGTCTCAGAAATCAGTTTTGTGAATTATCATCCAAGTAATGTTGTTTTCAAAGTCAAAGAACACAGGAAGAGAAAATGTAATGCGAAGTGAAATAGCTGTGAGAAATGTAGAGTCAGGTAGGTTTAAGCTTATTGGACATGGGCAGAGGAAATCCTGAGAGATAAGGAATTGAACTAGTTGTTCATTTTTAGAATCTAGAGGGAAATGGAAGAAAAACTAATCTTCTCTGGTGTGTACAGACATGAGTCGCACACATGTCAAACAAACTGCAGCATCTTGAGAGCAGCAGAGTGGAAAAGAGAAAATAAAAGTGGAAAGATAGAGGAAAAGTGAACTGCTGTTCACCAGCAAAGTGCCATCATTCTGGAGAGGATCCAGTTTTCTCCTCCCTAAATTTTGGGTTATTTTCTCTCTTGCTCTCATCTAATTTCTGCAGAAAAGATCGACCTCTTCTTTCTTCTGAAGGAGAGAGCAAAAAACAAGGGGAAGGAATGGCTGAATTTAGACCAAAAGAAAAGGATGAAGTTGTCAGGATTGAATTGAACAAGAGGATGATTTAACTGGGAGAAAGTAGTACTGGTGCTTTGAATTTATGGAGTGTCTCAAAAGAAAGCTCCAGAAGTAGTAAAAATGGCAGAACTGTTTTCTGTCTGGTTTGGTTTCAATTTTAAATCACCAGTGAAAACTTCATAGGTTTTTATCAAGCATCACTGGGATTTAGATATGAAAACATATGTTGGTGAAAATTTAGTTTAATTACATTCTTTTAAGTGCTGAATCTAATTTTGAATCCAAAAAAGGGGTTTGGACAGCATTTCTTCCAGCATAAATGATCACCAAATAGTTTTTGGCAATTAAAGAACTCTTTTTATGGAGTGATGTGGTAGATTTGAGGGCAAGTTGCAGTGATGATATATATGTATGTTAGACGCTAGGAGAAATGTTTTCCCTGTTAGGGTGTTCAGGCACTGGGAGGTGGTGGAGTCACCATCCCTGGAAGTATTGAAGAGGTGTCTGGATCTGGCACTGGAGGATCTGTTTTAGGGTTTAGGGGTTCCAACAGTGACAGGTTAATGGTTGGACTGGATGATCTTAGTGGTCTCCTCAAACCTTGCTGGTTCTATGATATCTGCCTCCATTCTGAATGGCTATGGTTTCATTTTCCTGAGAAAGTTGACTCATTCATTTGCAAGCATGTGTCTCGCAGAGGGCTGTGGTTTGAAATTAAAACCAGCTGATTGAATTCTTTTCCCTTTGCAGACTTTATACGATACTGCGTATCTAACACTGTACAATATCAGCTTCACTTCCCTTCCTATCCTCTTGTACGGTCTAATGGAACAACATGTCAGTGCAGACACACTCAAGAGAGAGCCTTCCCTGTACAGGTAAAATGCATACTCTGTGCCCTTAAGTGTGACTGTTCAATTGCAGGATCTGCCTCTGTTACAGTGAAAGTCCTCAGGGTTTCTGTACCAAAAGCTTATGGTAGAACATAGAATCGTAGAATTTG